CGACGATTTGCGGAATTCCAGTTTAATTGCCGAAAAATGCCAAAAATGTAATTTGGTCATGGCGGGGCTGTGACTATAGTTAGGTCGTATTTGATTTCCCGAACAAATATTAGGCAATCCTGTTCAGGATCCTTCCCACGGCGTCGGGCTTGGGCCTTGGCAGGCGAAAATACATGCACGACTGGCGGAATTCCAGTTTAATTGCTATAAAATGCCGAAAAATATAATTTGATCATGGCGGGGCGGTGACTATGGTTCCGTAGGTCGTATTTGATGTCCCGGACAAATATTAGGCGATCCAGTTCCGGCTCCGTCCCACGGCGTCGGGCTTGAGCCATGGCAGGCGAAAAATACAGGCACGACTAGCGGAATTCCAGTTTAATTGCCGTCAAATACCAAAAAATGTAATTTGGTCATGGTGGGGCGGTAACTATGGTTCCTAAGGTCGTATTTGATGTCGCGGAAAAATATTAGGCAATGCGGTTCAGGCTCCATCCCACGGCGTCGGGCTTGGGCCATGGCAGGGGAAAATACTGGCACGACGGGCGAAATTTTCGTTTAATTACCGTAAAATGCCAAAAAATGTAATTTGGTCATGACGGGGCGGTGACTATGGTTCCTTAGGTCGTATTTGATATCGCGGACAAATATTAGGTGATCCGATTCCCGCTCCGTCCCACGGCATCGGGGTTGGGCCATGGCAGGCGAAAATGGAGGTACGACGGGCGGAATTCCAGTTTAATAGCCGTAAAATGCCAAAAAATGTAAATTGGTCATGGCGGGGCGGTGACTATGGTTCCGTAGGTCGTATTTGATGTCCCGAACAAATATTAGGTGATCTGGTTCCGGCTCCGTCCCACGGCGTGGGGCTAGGGCCATAGCAAGCGAAAAATACCGGCACGACTGGCGGAATTAATGTTTAATTGGCGTCAAATGCCAAAAAATATTATTTGGTCATGGCGGGGCGGTAACTATGGTTCCTAAGGTTGTATTTGATGTCGCGGAAAAAGATTAGGCGATACGGTTCCGGCTCCGTCCCACGGCGCCGAGCTTGGGCCATGGCAGGGGAAAATACTGGCACGACCGGCGAAATTTCCGTTTAATTACCGTAAAATGCCAAAAAATGTAATTTGGTCATGACGGGGCGGTGACTATGGTTCCTTAGGTCATATTTGATTCCGCAGAAAAATGTTGCGCGATCTGGGTCCGGGGGCCCGGGCCCACGACAGAAGACGTGGGCTATAGCACAAGAAAATATGGGAATCGGGCGGAATTCCAGTTTTATGGCCGTAATACGCAAAAAAATATAATTTGGTCGTGGAGGGCGGTGACTATGGCTCCATAGGTCGTATTTGATGCCACGAAAAAATATTATGCGATCCGAGTCTGGGGGCCGGGCCCACGGCGGAAGGCATGGGCTAAAGCACATGAAAACATGGGAATCGGGCGGAATTCAAGTTTTTTGGTCGTAAAATGCCAAAAAATATAATTTGGTCATGGAGGGGCGGTGAATATGGTTCCATATTTCGTATTTGATGCCATGGAAAATTATTAGGCCATCCGGGCCCGTGGTCCTGGGCCCACGGTGTAAGGCGTGGGCTATATCACACGAAAATATGGGAATTGAGCGGAATTCCAGTTTTATGACCGTAAAACACCCAATAATGTAGTTTGGTCATGGAGGGGCGGTGACTATGGTTCCTTAGTCTGTATTTGATGCCAGGAAAAATATTATGCGACCTGGATCTAGGGGCCCGGTCCCACGGCGGTAGGCGTGGGCTATAGCACACAAAATTATGGGAATCGGACGGAATTCCAGTTTTATGGCCGTAAAACGCCAAAAAATGTAGTTTGGTCATGGAGGGGCGGTGACTATGGTTCCTTAGGTCGTATTTAACGCCACGGAAAATATTACGTGATCCGGGTCCGGGGTTCCAGGCCCACGGTGGAAGGCTTGGGCTATTGTTACATCTCGCATTTCTCATACGTTAAAGTTTCGTCTTCAGTAAATTGACATAAACTCGGGGATGACATTATTTTGATGGTAGCATATTTATGCTATTTATACCAAGCAATAAGTATGTGCCATGAAGGAAAGGGTACACGAGTAAAAGAAAATGAGTTTCGTTCAAGGTTGTCGAATTGGGATAAACTACGGGCCAAGCGATAATACCCGATACTTATGGACTAGTACCATGCAAGTTACCATATGACCACGATAATATGATGTATAAAGTATATTAAAAATAAGTAAAATTTTAAGTAATTTAAGACAATTCTTAATTATGCGGGTAATTGGTTAATTACGGGATAGTGGAATATTACCTAATTAATAAATAAATTATGAGATGAGACGACCCCAAAACGTGGCAGCTAGCTAAAGAAATGACTAAGAGTCATTCTTGATTAGGTGGCATAATGTGACTAATTCTTATAACAAAACTCATTCTTACAACAAAACTCTTTCAACATATAAGTCATTACTTACATTTCCCATACCAAAGACTATGCCATCAGATTGTTAAGCATTTTTACAGCAAACACTTCTTTCAATAAAGATCAGCGTTAGCCATTCAACCAAAGTTCTTACACCCGGCACTTTAGCAAGCTGTCAACAAAACATCTTTCAACTAAAATCCAACGAGGATTATTGGAAGCTTTAACAACGTAAAATTTTTACGGTTCTAAAAGAGTACGGTGCAACTTTTTCTAAAAATATCATATGGATTTTTTCCTACTCCAGGTATGTTAAGACTAACTTCTTCCTTCATTTTGCATGATCTTGTAATTACACAAATTTAATAACGAGACATAAAGAAAAATTTATATCCCGGAATTTATATATATTTTCCTAGTCTTGTAAGTCTGTTTCCGATAATGGTGTATATGTTTCATGGATCTCATATGAGCAGAAATTCTCAAAGGTTGGCTTATGCCAATATCATAGGATGCAAAGTGTCATTTTTTCTCATACATGAGTTCCATAACAAATTTAAACAGACCTTTTAGAGTTAATTTATTAAAGAGACAGAAAAATTCCAATGTATTCACGTTCCTTTAATTGATTCTCTCTATAATTGTGTCATCTTTTACTTTGCACAGACAGACCGAAAGAAAATGAAAAACTACTCAATCAATAGTGATAATATTCTCCTTATCGGGACTTCAAATTCAATTGAGTATTTCCTTCTTCCAGTCAAGAGAGCAGAAAGTCCATATATACAGTGTTATAGTATTTTCATTACAATCGAGCTATAATTGAAGGGCAGGACCTTATTGGGCAACCTCTGATCAGATGGTAAGTTATATACCGAGCCTACTGAGGCCGAGCGCCTATGAGCGAGCCCTGTTGGTCGAGATACAAAGCCTAGTATGGCCGAGCACCTATGAGCGAGCCTACTACGGCAGAGCAGTTATATATATATACCGAGCCTTATAGGGCCGGACAACTATTTACCTATTATATTGAGAGATAAAGTGAATATCAGCAGGTGCGCATATCTTCAGATTTTCTTTCACTCCCAGTTTGTGTCATTTATTATATTATCAGTTCAGTTTCAGCTTTCAGTATATTGCCTTACGTACTTGGTACATTATTTCGTACCGACGTCTCTTTCTGGGGGCGCTGCATTTCATGCGTGCAGGTTCAGACAGACAGACGGGTAGACCTCCTCAGTAGGTGTTGCCCGAGTTCAACGTTATCGGTAGGATCCCTGTGCTTCGGAGTTGCTGGGTCTAGAAGTTTGGTGTACATCTTGTACATATATGTAGATAGGTTATGGGTAGGTCAGGGCCCTATTCCGATTACAGTACATCTATCAGTAGAGGCTTGTAGACGTATCCTGTCAGTTAGTGAAGTATGTTGGGCTTGTAGGCCCTGTACGTATATTTTGTTGGCTTGTCAGTTGTAATAATTATGACGGCCATGCCGATCCAGCTGTATGTTGACATTTAGTCAGCGTTAGTCTCTATGCGATTTTATATTTTGCATGACATATTATCTTGTAATGTGGCCCATGGCCAAAGTATGATATTACATATCAGAGTCTCTTAGTCGCAAGTGATACGCAAGAATAGGAGGCACTGGGTGCCGGTCTCGCCCCCAGGTTCGAGGTGTGACAAAAGTGGTATCAGAGCAGTTCTGTCCTGGGGAATCTACAAGCCGTGTCTAGCAGGGTCTTGTTTATAGATGTGTGGTGCACCGCATTATATAAGCAGGGGACTACAGGGCATTTAGGATTTGGTTACCCTTCTTTCAAATCTAAATCGTGCTGTAGCACTGAGTTATAGGAAATTTGAGTTAAACTTACATGTTGACGTTTGCATGCACAGATGACGGAACTAGGAAGACTACGACTAGCCAGAAGAGGGAAACAACAGTAGGTGAGGGGACTAGCAGGGTACCCACAGTAGATGGGGCCCAATCGGAGTCCCAGGGAGTGACCCCTACCCAGCAATTACCGGCTCCTCCGCCACCCGAGGAGATTCCTAGGGGACTGTACATCCAGTTCCCTCTCCGCTTCCATCAGATCAGGACTTAAGGAGTGCGGTGCATTTGTTAGCATAGTTGGTAGCTACCCAACAACAGACTAGGGCATCCGCTAGTGCAGGACCTTCTGAAGGATCTGGGAGTTCAAGGGTCCGAGAGTTTATTGCTTTGAGTTCCCCAGAGTTCACGGGGACAGATCAGAGGGAGGAACCGCAGGATTTCATAGATCAGCTTCACAAGATCTTTCGGGTTATGCATGCCACGGAGAAAAAGGCAGTTGAGCTAGCAACTTTTCGACTCCGAGATATAGCCATCCTTTGGTACAAGGGATGGGAAAGGTCCAGGGGACGTGATGCACCTCCAGCTAATTGGGAGAATTAATCAGATGCCTTCCTTGACCAGTACTTACCGCGAGAGACCCAGCAGGCTCGAGTTGATCAGTTTCTAGCCCTCAAGCAGGGCAATATGAGAGTTCGAGAGTATAGTCTCCGTTTTGACTCATTGGCCAGATATGCACCATTCCCGCCGCAGTGTGCCATCTGCGGTCGTGGACACTTGGGCCAATGACGAGCCGGTACTGATGCTTGGTATACATGTGGACGTCCAGGGCATATGATGCGAGATTGCCCAAATAGAAATTCTGGGGGTATGGCGCAACCAGCGAATTCAGCAACATGATTAGCTATGTCTGTGCATCCTTCAGGGTGTGAGTCTCAGTCTTCGCCTGGTAGAGGTCGAGGCAAAGGTAGAGGGTCCAGTTCAGGTGGTAACAAGAATCGTATCTACGCGCTAGCAGGTCGATAGGACCAAGAGTCCTCACCAGACGTTGTGACAGGTATGTTGACCATTTGTTCTCACGATGTTTATGCCTTGATAGACCCAGGATCTACTTTATCATGTATTACCCCATTTGTGGTGAGGAAATTTGGTATAGTGCCTGAAATACTAAGTGATCCTTTTGTGGTATCTAAACCGGTCGAAGAATAGATTATCGTTAGACGGGTTTACCGAGGTTGTACAGTGACAGTTTGTGGTCGTCGGACCTCAGCAGACCTAGTTGAGCTAGAGATATTGGATTTTGATGCTATCATGGGCATGGACTGGGTGGCAGCTTGTTATGCCACAGTTGATTGTCGAGCAAAGACAGCCAGATTTCATTTTCCTGGTGGACCAGTCCTTGAATGGGTAGGTTATACAGCGACACCCAGAGGTAGGTTTATTTCCTATCTTAAGGCGAGGAAAATGATCGCAAAATGGTGCATTTATCATATTGTGCGAGTTAAAGATGCAGATGCTGAGATACCTACACTTCAGTCTATTCCAATAGTAAAGGAGTACGCGGATGTATTTCCAGATGAACTTCCAGGTATTCCTCTAGAGCGAGAGATTGATTTTGGCATCGATTTGCTTTCGGGAACGCAATCAATATCCATCCCTCCGTATAGAATGGAACCTGCCGATTTGAAGGGATTGCAGGAGCAGTTAAAAGATTTACTGGAGAAAGGTTTCATCAAACCCAGTACCTTACCTTGGGGTGCACCAGTACTGTTTGTACGGAAGAAAGATGGATCGCTGAGGATGACTGAACATGGTAACTATTAAGAATAAATATCCACTTCCAAGGATAGATGACTTGTTTGATCAGCTGCAGGGAGCTAGATGTTTTTCAAAAATAGATTTGAGGTCGGGGTACTACCATGTCAGAGTTCGGGAGAAAGATATTCCCAAGACAGCCTTCGGGACCCGATATGGCCACTTCGAGTTCCTTGTCATGTCCTTCGGGTTGACAAATGCGCCTGCCATATTTATGGACTTGATGAATAGTCTATTCCAGCCATATTTAGATCTGTTCATAATAGTCTTTATTAATGATATTCTTGTTTATTCACGTTCAGAGGATGAGCATGTGGACCACCTGCGAGCAATACTCTATACCCTCCGTGATAATAAATTGTATGCTAAGTTTTCTAAGTGTGAGTTCTTGTTGAAGTCTGTAGCATTCTTGGGGCACATTGTATCCGACAGATGTATAAAGGTAGACACTCAGAAGATTGAGGCTGTGAAATCCTGGCCTAGACCTACCACTCCGACAGAGATTCGTAGCTTTCTAGGCTTAGCAGGATACTACCAGAGGTTCGTAGAGGGTTTTTGTTCTCTTTCAGCACCATTAACTAAGCTGACGCAGAAAGCGACTAAGTTTCAGCGGACAAAGTCCTGTGAGCAGAGTTTCCAATAGCTTAAGAACAAGTTCACCTCAGCGCAAATTTTAGCACTTCCGAGGGTCCATATGGTTATGCCATGTATTGTGATGCCTCAGGTATTGGGTTAGGATGTGTCCTGATGCAACATGGGAAAGTAATTGCGTATGCTTCAAGGCAGTTAAGGAAGCATGAGTGGAATTATCCAGACCACGACCTCGAATTAGCTGCGTTTGTCCATGCACTTAAGATATGGCTGCATTATTTATATGGTGTTCATGTTGATGTGTTCACAGATCATAAAAGCCTGCAATATATCTTCAAGAAAAAAGAGTTGAATTTGTGTAGAGGCGATGGTTTGAGTTATTGAAAGTTTACGATGTTAAGATTCTCTACCATCCAGGGAAAGCTAATGTTGTAGCAGATGCCTTAAGTCACCAATCTATGGGTAGCTTAGTACATGTAGAGGCCGAAAAAAGACAATTAACCAGAGAGATTCATCAATTGGCCTGCTTGGGGGTTCGGTTAGTAGACTCTGGCAATGGAGGAGTTGTACTCCATAATACTGCAAAATTATCTCTCATAGTTGAAGTAAAGGAGAGGCAGTACGAGGACCCAGAGTTGGTCGAGTTGAGAGAGCGAGTTCCGCAGTAGAAGAAGTCGTTGTTAGAACTCAAGGGAGATGGGATTCTCAGATACAGGGGCCCTTTGTGTGTTCCAGATGTAGCAGGGCTATGACACAGGATAATGTCAGAGGCACATTATTCGTGGTACTCCATTCACCCTGGGTCGACGAAGATGTATCATGACATTAAGGATGTGTATTGGTGGAACGATATGAAAAAGAACATTACTGAGTATGTCGCTCAGTGCCCTAGTTGCCGGCAGGTGAAGATAGAGCACCAGAAGCCCGGATGGCTAATGCAGACTATAGAGATCCCGACATGGAAATGGGAGGCGATAAACATGGACTTTATCATGGGTTTACCTCGTTCTCATCGTAAGTTCGATCCCGTATGGGTGATAGTCGATAGGCTCAAGAAATCAACTCATTTCCTAATGGTTAGATCTACATATGCAGTAGAAGATTATGCAAAGTTATATATTAAAGAGATAGTGCGACTACCCGGAGTGCCAATATCTATTATATCTGACCGTGGGGCCCAGTTTACAGCACATTTTGGAGGTCATTTTAGTAAGGTGTAGAGACTCAAGTGAATCTCAGCACAACTTTTTATCCACAAACTGATGGACAAGCCGAGCGCACAATTCAGACGCTCGAGGATATGTTACGAGCCCATGTGTGCTGGATTTTAAAAGAAGTTGGGATGAACATCTACCTCTTATTGAGTTTGCATATAATAACAGTTACCACTCCAGTATCCAGATGGCTCCATACGAGGCTTTGTATGAGCGTAAGTGCAGATCTCCTATAGGGTGGTTTGATGTTGGGGAATCTAACATGGGCCAGACCTGGTTCAGTCGGCCATAGAAAAAGTAAAGCTTATCCGGGAGTGACTATTGATAGCTCAGAGTTGTCAGAAGTCATATTCTGACGTGCGTCAATGAGATTTAGAGTTCGGGGTTAATGACTGGGTATTCTTAAAGGTGTCACCTATGAAAGGTGTGATGCGGTTTGGCAAGAAAGGCAAACTTAGCCCACGGTATATTGAACCTTATAGGATCATTCGGAGAGTGGGACAAGTAGCTTATGAGTTAGAATTGCCCTCGGAATTGAAGTCTGTTCATCCGGTTTTTCACGTATCTATGATACGAAAGTGCATTGGCAATCTTACCTGAGTGGTGCCCACGGATGATGTACAAATTACAGAGGACTTGTCATATTAGGAAATTTTGGTTGCCATCCTAGACCGACAAATGCGCAAGCTACGAAATAAGGAGATAACACCCGTGAAGGTTTTATGGAGAAGTAAGAAGGTGGAAGAGATGACGTGGGAAACAGAGGAAGAAATGAAGTCTAAATACCCCCACCAATTTCAAACTGGAAAATGGCTCAAGATGGGATACCTCAGCACAACGCTATTCATGCCAGTAGGTTCTCCGGCAAGCTCTTATTTTTTACTTTTCAAAATTATAATAAACAACTGTGTCAAGCCAAGTATGGCATATATAGCATGTTTTCTGGCTGCGCGCAGGGTGGTTTTAGTCTAGTGTATGGAGGAGACTCTGGCAAAAATTTTCCAAGGTATCTCAGAGTAAACATTCAAGGACGAATGTTTCTAAGGGGGGAAGGATGTTACATCTCACGTTTTTCGTACGTTAAAGCTTCATCTTCAGTAAATTGACATAAACTCGGGGCTGAGATTACCTTGATGTTAGCATATTTATGCTATTTATAACAAGCAATAAGTAAGTGCCATGAAGGAAAGGGTACACGAGTTAAGAAAATGAGTTTCGTTGAAGGTTGTTGAATTGTGATAAACTACCGGTCGAGCAACAATACCTGATACATATGGACTAATACCATGCAAGGTACCATATGACCACGATAGAATGATGTATAAAGTATATTAAAAATAAGTAGAATTTTAAGTAATTTGAAATAATTCTTAATTATGCGAGTAATTGGTTAATTATCGGGTAGCGGAATATTACCTAATTAATAAATAAATAAATTATGAGATGAGACAACCCCAAAACGTGGAAGCTAGCTAAAGAAATGACTGAGAGTCATTCTTGATTAGGTGGTATAATGTTACTAATTCTTACAACAAAACTCATTTTCAACAAATAAGTCATTTCTTACATTTCCCATACCAAAGACTATGCCATCAGATTGTTAAGCATTTTTACAACAAACACTTCTTTCAATAAAGATCAACGTTAGCCATTCAACCAAAGTTCTTACACCCAGAACGTTAGCAAGCTGTCAACAAAACATCTTTAAACTAAAATCCAACGAGGATTATTGGAAGCTTAACAACGTAAATATTTTATGGTTCTAAAGGAATACGGTGTAACCTTTTTCAAAAATATCATACGGATTTCTCCCTACTCCAGGTATGTTAAGGCTAAGTTCTTCCTTCGTTTAGCATGATCTCGTAATTACACAAGTTTGATAATGAGACATAAAGAAAAATTCATATCCCATAATTTACGTATATTTTCCTAGTCTTGTAAGTATGTTTCCGGTAATAGTGTATATGTTCCATGGATCTCACATGAGCAGACATTCCCAAACGTTGGCTTATACCAATATCATAGGATGCAAAGTGTCATTTTTTCTCATACATGAGTTCCATAACAAATTTAAACAGAACTTTTAGAGTTAATTTATTAAAGAGACAGAAAAATTCCAATGTATTCACGTTCCTTTAATTGATTCTCTCTATAACTGTGTCATCTTTTACTTTGCACAGACAGACCAAAAGAAAATGAAAA